TGAAAGCTTTGCTGGGCATAGTAGTCTGGGCTTGTATCCATGCTCTCTTAGTATCTCATCTGCCCAGGACTTTCCGACTTTCATGGTTTTCATTGCGAAGTCAGGTGTAATTCTGATAGATCTGCCTTTATGTATTACTTGTTCTTTTTCTTGTGTACCTCTTAATGTTCTTTCTTTATTCTGTATGTTTAGTGTTTTGATTATATATGGTAAGGGGATCTTTAATTTCAGTTCAGTATATTTGGTGTTCTGTAAGCTTCTTGTACCTTCATAGAAATATGCTTCTTTAGGTTGGGAAAGTTTTCTTCTATGATTTTGTTAAATACATATTCTGTGCATTTGAGCTGGAGTTCTTCTATCCCTGTTATTCTTAGGCTTGGTCTTTTAATGGTATCCCAGCTTTTCTGGATGTTTTGTGTTAAGAATTTTTTGGATTTAACATTTTCTTTGACCGATGAACCTATTTCCTCTGTAGTATCTTCAACACCTGAACTTCTCTCTTCCATCTCTGGTATTCTGTTGGGTATGCTTGCTCTGTATCTCCCGTTCATTTTCACATGCAGAATTCCCTCAGTTTGTGTTTTCTTTATTACCTTTATTTCAGCTTTCAAGTCTTGAACTGTTTGAACTGTTTCCTTCACCTGTTTGATTGTTTTTTCTGGTTTTCTTGGGTTTCTTTCAGAGATTTATTGAATTGACTTCTTCCATTTTTTTTTTGCTTGTCTTTACCTCCATTTCTTTAAGGTAATTTTTTATTTCCTCATTAAAGGTCTCCATTATCGTCATAAAGTTACATTAAAATCATTTTCTTCTGTTTCTTCTGGGTTAGACTGATCATGTCTTCCTGTTATATGACCATTGGGTTCTGGTATTACCATGTTACTTTTTAGGTTGTTGAATGAATTCTTGCATTGGTACCTACCCATATCCTCCTCCAATCTGTGCCAGCAGTGTCTTTGCCTCTTGGTCCAATCCTTGCAGTAGTTGTCTATGTCTTTGGTAGCTTCACTTGGTCTGCTCTGTACTGTCACTGTCTGTGTCTCAGGGAGTCACTGAGGTCTCTTGGCGTGCTCTCTTGGTCCAATCTCTTGGTCTGCCCTCTGGGTGCACTGTGTGCAGTCACAGCCTGTTCCTCTGAGGTCATGGGAGATAGGAGGATTTGGGGGAAGAGTGGAACTTGTAATTTACAGGGTCTGATGGATGGGGTGGGGGTATTGGAACAATGTACTTGCAGGAAGCTTGCCTACTGACTGGCTAGAGAAGCTGAGGCAGGTGGGAGAGGAGCCTAGGGTTTTTCTCCATTACCTAGAGGCTAGGGAGTGAAGTGTCCAGCTGGGTGGGTGATCACTCACCTCTTGGTCAATTGTGTGCAGTCACAGCCTGTGCTTCAGGGTTCCTGTGTGATTACAGCATCGCTGTTGTTCTTGGTGTTGGTGGTGTATGTGGTGTGTGTGTGTGTGTGTATGTGTGTGTGTGTGTTTGCACATACTACTGAGTCCACTTAGTGTTATTGGTATGTGCATATGTTTAGTGTTGACCACTTCAGATTGGAGAGCTTATCAGGGCACTGGTCCACAGAAAAAACTAGTTCTTCCTCTTCATGTAGTGCTGAGGTCTCATGACCTCATCCACCTTTGCAAGTCCACTGTTGGTGACACTATGTCGTTCTTTTTAAGATATCATGTTGTTAAAAGTCCTAGGCACAGCTTGGCCTAGAGTCTAAAAGACACTAATTTCCAGCAGGCATGCTGGTCCTTTACCCCTTCTTCTGTAATGTTTCTTGAGCCTCATTTGTAGAGATTACATTGTATATGTATCCTTTGGGGCTGGGCACCCCATAGTAACTTGTTCTCTGCATTTTCCCACTGTGGGTCTCTGTAA